GTTTGTAATTGTGTGTGGTTTAGTATTGAAGGTTTTTCTCCTTCCATGAACACTGACGTGATATCAAAACGGTAAAATAAAAGTTATAAAATCTTCTTGAATTTCTCAAGTTTAATTCCCTCTGAACATTTGCCAAGCATATTTCATACACAAGTATGTGCTATCACAGAGTTACCCCGTAAATATGTTACTTCAATGGCTTGTCGTGCGGCCTATCTTTCCTTAACATATTTCATTAAGAGCCTGCATTTATGGATTCAATATTTCAAAATCAAATTTATTTAAATGCAGAGTGCATTTTTCTTTTAACTTCCCTAGATATTGCTGAAAACCTTCCTGCCCCCATCTTTATTATGAAATAGTTTTAGACTTGTCTTGCCTCTACAGTATTGAAATAATCAAAACATGAAATAACAGAAATTGCATTGTGGTCTTGCAGTGGTTCAATATTGCTGAAAACCTTCCTGCCCCCATCTTTATTATGAAATAGTTTTAGACTTGTCTTGCCTCTACAGTATTGAAATAATCAAAACATGAAATAACAGAAATTGCATTGTGGTCTTGCAGTGGTTCTCACACACTACATTTTTCAAAATCCTATACCCAGACTTCCATTTCTTTCAAAACTCTCCATCCAAGAGATGACATGAAAACATTTGGCACTGGTGATTTTCTTAATTGCCGATGAATGATTTTCTTTAATCAAATGGTTTGAGAGCAGGCCTGTTCTCCAATATCAATTCATGTTAAGTAAAAGCAATCCCCTCATTACTTATTAAATTTTGTATGGAATACCTTAATACAAGAATAGAATTTATCATTTTAAAATCGCTAGACCTCTATATTTCCAATTGGCAAAAAAAAGGGTTTAAAGTTTTCAATTAATTTAATATTTATTTATTATTCATGGTACAGGCGAATGTTCCCCATATTATATATAACACGTGATTCTCCCCTATATTACAGATAAAATACGTATAAAACCGGGAGTATAGGCTAACGTAAAAAAAAAAAATCTTTTGGGAAAAAAACAACAAATCAGCTATAAAACTCTAACCCCCGCAGGTTTTTAGAAATATTTACATTAAAACCATGACTGAACAATTATGTACATGAATGTAAAATTTTCACTAAAATTGATTTCACAAAAAAAAGCTATAAATTCTTTTCTCTTAAAAAAAAAAAAAAA